CTTGGAGTTAGGTCCAGGAGACGAGAGAAGATTGCGGAGAGAGGCTAGAGAGAGAGCAGCGACAAGGAGAGCGAGGGCGGCTGAGGATAGTGTCAGGACTAGAGTTTCAGCTAGTACCGGTGCAACCATGGCTACTTCATCTATGTCGCAAACCTCTTCACAGTCCACTTCGTCAGGAGTCAGTCAGAGTGGTTCTCAGGGGTCCATTAGTCAGATTGCTAGCTTGCGAATCAGCCAACAGATTCAACTCACGGCGGAGGATTTAGAAATCCGTCAAGCAGAAGAACTTCAAGATGAGCTACAGCGGCAGCTGGATGAAGCAGAAGAGAGGAGAAGAAAAGCCATACTTAGAAAGGCTAGACTAGGGAGTAGAATGCAGGAGCTAGGCAGGCTGGAAGGACTACATGAGGCGGCATTAGATCTTGTTGTTCGTGTGCTACGTAGTGCCTTACTTTTAGTGGCTGAAGCGCAGAACGTCCAGCAGGAATTGCTGGCCGAATTGGTGGCAGGCCAAAAACAAATCCTGGCTGAACTTCGGGCTCCTCGTACAATGATGAGGCAGCCACAGTTTGTTGTAGTTCCCCCTGCAGGTGCGGGTCCTTCATCGATGTCGCAACACATAGGGCCAACTTTTTCTCCTATGTTTGGCATACCTCCTCCAGGTGTAATAGCAACTAGTGGTCCGGTTCATAGAGTCTCAGCCGTACCATCTACGACAGTGGTCACTACAGTCCCACTGACAAGCCAGGCCCAGGTTAGTATGCAACAACCTGTTTCAGTGGCTATGCAGCCGCTGCAGCAAGCCCTTGGGCCCATGCAGCCTATGCAGTGGATGCCTAAGATACCTTTGATGAGTCCCAAGCCCTTCTCTGGTGATAGAAAGAAGGATGAGGACTCGACACCTGGATGAGGACTTATGTGAGGCACAAGCTCACCCGGCCAGAGCAAGAAGTTGCAGTGGCTGCCTCCTTTTTAGAGGGGTCAGCAGCCCGCTGGTTGAATGGCTTAGTGCAGCAGCAGGGCTACGGTCAAAACTTCGATGCCTGGGCACAGGCCTAGACATTGGAAGAGTTCGTACAGTCCGTACATAACAGGTGGCATGACCCGCAAGGGGCTCAGAAGGTCGTCGATGCTATCAACAGTCTTTGTTCTCGCAGGTTCAAGAATGTTAGAGAGCTAACGGACACTGTAGAACGTTTACTCGTGGTACCTGGTGTGCGTTTTGACCAGCAGGTTCTGGATTACCTAAGGTGCCTACCTGCAGAGGTAAGGACCAAGTTGGTTGAGGCATCTCATGATGGTAGGAGGAGACTTCCCCAGGACTGGAAGAAGAAGGGTCAGTTGATGTTCGTTGACCATGATGGTCAAACAACGATTATTGACGATTTCCCAGATCTTGGGGAGGTGACAGAGCAGGATGGGGCCAGCGAGACTTCGGATGGGGGAGTCATGGCACCTATCAAAGAAAAGGCTAGGGGGACCGGGAAGAAGAAGGTAGTACGGTCCACGGGTCAGGGCGACCAAGGGACACCCGCATGGGTGAAGATTGCTTTAGATTACGAGGTGTGGAGGGACCGAGTTGCCAGGGGCACATGCATGAACTGTGGCAACTATGGCCACGCGTCACGGACATGCCGAGGCAAGAAGGTCACAACGAAGGTCGCCTCGCCAACAGTGGTGGGCTTATCTTCGAACCCTGGTAGTGCTTCTGCGAGCACTTCGCAGGGAAACTCCTCGGGCCAGTAGGAGTGTTAGCCGCTCTTACTCGCGCTGAAGTGGTTACGTTGCCTTCCCCACTTCAGGCGTTGGCCAAGGCTAGTGACCCACGTATCGCCCCGCAGACACATTCAGACCCGCCGACGCTCTGTTCGAGAGATGTGTCTGAGGCCCTAGAAGAGTTAGAGACTGAACGGTCAGGAAAGGACCCCAGGGACTCTTGGGCGATGATAAGTAGAGGTCCAAAGGGTGAACATTTCGTGGTAGAGGTTGATGTAGAGCATAATTGTAGCTTCTACGCTGGCCAACAAGCACCAAATGGTAGTGAAAGACTATGTTAAGGACATAGCCTGCACCTTCTCCTATGGAGGAGGGGAAGTGATCCACAAGATCTCCTTCCTGGTTAGCGACGAACTGCCATTCGATATGCTACTGGCATGTACTACCTCGAAGTCTCGCAACCGCAATTTGACTGGGATAGAAAGGTGTTGATACACAAGTTGCCAAATGGTAGGACCGTTAGGCTCCAGAAGTACAAGGCTAGCAGTCTAGTGGAGAACTGCGGCTGCATGTGCGCTTCTTCTTTCTATAACTATTACAAGCAGAATCGCGAGGAGGGCATGTATCTAGTGTTTGTCTCTGAGAAAGGGGAGGCCGTTAAATCACCCTCAGAGATAGAAAAAGTCATCGCTCAATATTCAAACTTTTTTTAGGAGCCCATCGGCGTTATAGAAAGGGAGGTTGTCCATGCAATAGAGGTTATCCCAGGTAGTAAGGTGCCTAGAGGACGAATCTATAGGACGTCTCCTGTGGAGTTAGATGAGCTTCGCCACCAGCTCAAGGAGCTCACAGAGAAGGGATGGATCCGGCCTAGTACCTCCCCTTACGGTGCGCCAGTCTTATTTGTCCCAAAGAAGGGAGGTCCATTAAGGATGTGCATTGACTATAGGGGCCTCAATGCCATCACCGTAAAGAACGTCGAGCCCCTACCCCACATCGACGACCTCTTGGATAGAGTGCAGGGATGCCGGTACTTCACCAAGATAGATCTGAAGTCCGGATACCATCAAATTGTCGTTAGACCTGAGGACCAGCACAAAACCGCATTTCAGACCAGGTACGGTCTGTACGAGTTTGTGGTGATGCCCTTTGGTCTATGCAATGCACCTGGTACATTCCAGCACACGATGAACAGGATATTTCATGACTACTTAGACAAGTTTATCGTCGTGTACCTCGATGATATTTTTATCTTTAGTAGGACTGTAGAGGAGCACGTTGTGCACTTGAAAATAGTGCTAGGTCTCTTACGACAGCACCAGTACAAGGTAAACTTGGACAAATGCGAGTTTGGTTGCACCAAGATCTTGTACTTGGGTCAGGAAATCTCAGCAGATGGATTGAGGCCGGAAGATGCCAAGGTGGCCAGCATACGTGACTGGCCAAGACCTCAGACTGTTACTGAGGTCAGATCGTTTTTTAGGATGACGGGCTACCATCGTCCGTTTGTGAAGAACTATAGTACTATAGATTCCCCATTAACGGATCTAACTCGACTTGACACCCCTTGGGAGTGGACTGAAGAGTTTGAGGCAAGCTTCAAGAAACTGAAGTATGCTCTAACACACTATGAAGTTCTCAAACTTCCTGATCCTGACAAACCGTTTGTTGTGACCACAGATGCCAACCAATATGGCATAGGTGCGGTCCTTGCGCAACAGGAGGGGCCAAAGTTGAGACCGATCGAGTATATGAGTAAAAATATGCCTTCCCAGAAGTTAGCTAAGTCCACGTATGAGAGAGAACTCTACGCCCTGTACAGAGCGCTTGTTCATTGGAGACACTACCTCCTAGGGAGATTCTTCTATGTGAGGTCGGACCATGAGACTTTGCGCTGGATTAAGACACAGCCTGTTCTGTCGGACGCACTCAAAAGATGGATTCAACTGATAGACATGTATGACTATCAACTTGATCCTATCAAGGGTACGTACAACAAAGTGGCTGATGCATTATCGCGAAGGGCAGACTATTTGGGCGCGCTAGTCACTGAGTTTTGCATATCAGACGAACTCACTCGACCACTGGTGGAAGCCTATTGGGGAGATCCAGTTATGTCAGAGATCATCCGTAGATTCCAAGCAAAGGACAAAACGACTTTGGACGAATTTACGATGGTAGATGGCTTGCTGTTTCTCGAGAAGGCAGGGAATAAAAGATTCTGTGTCCCGTATAGTGAGTCTTTACGTAGTTTATTTTTAGGCGAGTGTCATGACGCAACTGGTCATTTTGGATATAGAAAGACCTCAGCTAACCTAGTGCAAAGATTTTGGTGGCCCACTATGATGCAAGATACGAGAAGGTATGTTGAAACTTGCCAGGTCTGTCAAAGGGACAAACCTAGAACTCAGGCTCCGCTTGGGCTCATCAAGCCCTTGCCGATTCCTGAAGGTCCTGGTCAAAGTGTGTCCATGGACTTCATGGATACTCTTGTGACCAGTAAGTCTGGAAAGAGGCATATCTTCGTGATAGTGGACCGCTTTACTAAATATGCAAGACTGATCGTTATGCCAGAAACTGCGAAAACTGACTATGTCATCAAACTGTTCCTGGATCACTGGGTTAGGGATTTTGGACTACCCACATCAATAGTGAGTGATAGGGATGTTAGGTTTACCAGTGAACTGTGGCAGGCAACTACTGAACAAATGGGAACCAAGCTCCAAATGACTTCAGGGAATCACCCTGAGTCAAATGGTCAGGCAGAGCAGATGAACCGGGTAGTACAGCACCTACTTCGGGATTATATTAAGCCAAGTCAGGATGACTGGGACGAACAGTTACCTCTCGTCGCCAGCCTTTACAATATCATTGTGCATAGTACTACGGGTATGACTCCCAACCAGCTACATCTTGGTTGGAAACCCAGAACTGCGCTTGACTTTCTGCTACCGGAAAGGCAACCCACTGCAGCCCCTGGCAGCATAGAGTATGCTATCAAGTATGAACAGATGCTGCTGAAGGCATTGGAACATATTAAGAAGTCTCAAGATGCTATGATGCATCTGAGAACAAACATAGATAGGGATCTCAAGAAAACTGATGCCACAGTACTTTGGGCCCTGGGAGATCTTAGATATTGTAGGGGATCAACTGGATCAGCCTTCATATGTGATTCGCATCCCTGCACACTTGCGGACTTACCCTGTTTTCCATGCATCCAAGCTGGCACCTTTCGCTGCCACAGACCAGGTTCCCTTTCGGAGATCAATGCTGCCCCCAACCATGGATGGCGAAGTGGACATTGACCAGATTGTCGAGCACCGAGTGATGCCTGTTCCTCGACCATCCGGCAGAGGACGCCCTCCCAAACCGAGAATGCAGTATCGTGTGAGCTTCAGACATCATCTGGATCTTCTTCTTCTGGACGAAGAGAACCGGTGCTSCATATGGGGAGCTGCTAGGGCGGATCCAGCCCTTGGCAAACAAATCGTCGAGTTGTGCGCGAAGGACCTCAAGCTCCTCCACGCTCATGCGATAGATGCAACCTTTCGGCGGCACGACACCGGCCTCAAGAATGATCTCGTGAGAGATCGGCCAGTCCGGCACCACACCGGTAGGTGACTCGAAGATGTCAGCGAACTCGTCCAGCAACCGCACCACCCAGGGGTCAGAAGACAAGTTCGTGGGTGAAGCGTCCGCTACCGCGACGGTCCGTAGGAAACATAGGCCGATCTCCTCGGGCTGCTCGTAAGCGCAAGTCGCCCTGAATGATTTGGCCGTCACCACTTGGCACCGAATCGAAGGGTGCGTTAGAGGAATAGTACACGCCACTTCCGCGCCAAAGGCGTCACGAACGCTAAGAGTCCGCCGGTGGAAGTTGACCGTGTGATCTGCACTTGCAAGCCAAGGCATTCCCAGAATGATGTCGAAGTCCGTGTCCAGAATATCGAATGTCACCGGTTCGCATGCATGAGGTGCGAAATAAACCGGTACGGCCTCGATGTAACGGTCGAGAAGTTGCTGCGTCTTTCCATCCACCAACTTGATCGCCGTCGGGTTTGCCTTCCTCCGAACTTGTGCGCCAAGGCCAGCCCTTTGCATAAAGGATTGGCTCATGAAATTGCGAGACGCGCCGCTATCCAGCAAAGCGCTGCAGGACGCTTGCCCAACTTGGATGCGGACATACATGAGCGGTGCGTTGTTGTCATCGTACCGCTGCGTGCGAAACTCGGGGGCCACCTTGGTAGTATACGCCAGGATGTCCCCCACTGCGACTTCGTCATCCGTCGGCGAAGTTGGTGGTGCATAGAAGGATAAGTAAGTGTGTAGATGAGCGCATAGTGCTGCGCATTGTGGTCCCATCAAGCGTCCCGTGGTCGGGAAAGGAAGCCATGCAAAGTCCTCGGACGTGAGCGGCTCCAATACCTCTATGTTGAACTCGCGCGTTGATTCCCGTGAAGAACCACTTGAAAACGACATGTCGCCGCTGTCGGACAGAGAAGAAACCGCACACACCTCTTGTCCTTGAGCTTGAGTACCCAGCTTAGGAACGAGTCGGGTAGCATAGTCCTCAAAAGATAGTAGAAGAGGAGGACTATCGACTTCCACGTGCGCCTCAGAATGAAGGCCGGTTACTCACGAAGAAACCGGTTCCGGAGGCGTCGAGAGTGTTGTTGAGTCACTCTCGGCGGTGCTCAGTTTCCCTGTTTGCCCTTGCCTTTCAATGGGCGGACCAGTGTCTGATGAAGATCACTATTGCACCAAAGGCAATAGTGGAATCTCTCGCGCGCTTTGAATGCTTGCTCGGAGATGCCATATTGGGACCATGGGGCTGCTCAAGCTACTGCACCGGGCCCGGGGCTAGATGCGGTGTGTGTCTTCGTCTTGCCGCGTCCTTGGCCTCTGTTGGGGCGGCCACCTTCCCGGGCGTCTGCGAGTCTGTCCCCTTCATTGGCAGACACAGCCTCGCTGGTTTGGTCAAACGGCGTTGCCGCTGCGACCACAGCCACTCTTGGCCGATGTTGGTCCCTGCTCGGGCCTGACGCAGACGAACGGAGGTTCTTAGCCTCCTTGTTCGTAATGATGATCTGCGTGGCCTTGTCAAAAAGTTCCGCCGTCATCGTCAAAGTGTCCTTGACGTGAGTCAGGGCATTGCTTAATGTCAGACAGGACCTTGACATGAAGTAATGGCCGATGGCCTTGAAGCCCATTTGGATGTCTGGGACTGACGTCAAGCATTGGTACTCGGCGATCCAGTCGGTACTCGGCAGCGTGCCTTGCTCGAAGACCATGAGCTTGTCCATAGCCTTGATCTCGGGCGGCTCAACTTGGAACCGCCTGTGCCACACCGCCTTCAGATCATCCCAACCGATCTCGGTGTGCAAGTCGGCAGCTACCACTCCGTACTTGGACAAGAGGTTGTCCAACCAAGCCTGGCACGCGCCCCCTGAGCGAGAGTACAAGTATGCGTGGTGCTTGTGTTCTTTGACGTTGTGTAGCTGCAGCGTGAGCTCGAACTTGCGGAACCATGGAATCGGATCTGTCTTTGTCGAGTCGCAAAAGATTTCCTGCCCGTCGAACTTTGGAGTTGTCTCGCGCGGTTCCGGACTCGAGGTGTTGGCTGCGGTACAGATCCGTTGTTCCAACTGTTGCGTTGCGGTCTGTTGTGACTGCACGCCATCCTTGAGGGAGCGGACGTCCATCTCCAATGCGTCGAGGCGATCGGAGGTATTGGAAGAGCTTGCATTGGCGGCGGCGACTGGTTGCTGCTCCAGCTGTTGAAGGCCGCCTTGGACTTGAGCTAGCGAGTCGTCGAGGCTGTGGATATCCTCCTGCTGCGTAATGCATGTAGCCAGGAGGTCTGTGAGATGCAAGAGGACGAGAGCGATCTTGTTTTCGCAATCCTCCAACTTGCCATTCTCGGCCTCGGTCCGCCATGCCGCTGCCGTTGTGAGCAAAGTCTGCTCTCCGCTAAATATCTTCTCACGACGTTGGTTTCTTTCTTCATCGGCAGCCCTTGCTGCTGCCTCGTCATGCTGGCGCTGTTGTTCAAGTGCCAGCATACGTGCCTGCTCGGCATCCTCTGCCTTCGTCTTCGCTGCTGCTGCTGCGTCATCTGCCCGTTTCTTCGTTTCGGTACTCCAAGCCAGCATCCGGGCCTGATAGGCCTCGTCTGCTTCTCCGGACCTCTGGTCCATGACGGCTGTTTGTGACCGCAACAGCATATACCAGGCCGGGGGCCTGCTGACCTGGTATTTCCTGCTCTATCGGCTGACATGGCCTACTGACGTGGCCTGCTGACGTGGTCTGCTGGCGTGTCCTGCTGACGTAGTCTGCTGACGTGGCCTGCTGACGTGGCAACTCACCAATGCCGTCGCAGGGGGCACCCGGAGATGGATAGAGAAGGTAAGGCCAGAGGGGGCAACAACATAGGTGGGGAGGGTGGGTGGGGAGAATCGCCCAGATAAAGAGCCACTAATCAAAAAGGAAAAGTTTGAACTTTGCAAAAAAAAATTCGAAATAAAAAAATCCCGAGTTTTGCAATTTCAGTAGGTCTCCCAACCTCCTTTGAAGTGCGAAATGATCAATGAGAGAAAAAAATTTCGACTTTAGATTGCAAATGATTTATAGAACTGACTAACAGAATCCTAGAACTGCGGAAAAAAAAATTCCGAAAAGAAATGACAAATATTCGGATTTTCTCAGATGAGAATATTCGCAGTTTGGAAAATAATACCTGCAGGAGGGATTTCCCGTACCATTTTCAGGAAAACGAAATTCGAAAAAGAAGATATTCCAAATTTCTAAGTAACGAAAAATGCAACAGGAAATCGAATTTTTCGAAAACAAGAATATTCCGGATTTTTAACAACGAAATTTCGAATTTTCAGAGGAAAAACGAAAAGGGGAATTTCAAATGTTGCGCTATCACGATTTTCCACAACAAAATAGCGAGAAAACAAAATCCAAGGAAAGAAAAAAATTTCAATTTTTGGCAGTAAGGTCAAAATCATGATTTTGGGGTCTAACTAATGTGCTCTAATCAATCAATAAAGACTAATCAGCTATTTAGTCCCCGCCCACGTGTCAGATCAGGTTGTCCTGATTCACGTGCGGTGCACCGATACCAACTGTTACATGCCCAGTTGGGCGATGTACATAGAAACCGAGGATCCGCAATGTGATGAAAAGGACTGAATGGACAATGCAGTGCAAGTAGAATCTCAACAAGCAATGTACATTCTAATACATACAAAATGGTGCTGAATAGCGCAGGGAAGACTTAGATACAAAACCTGAGCTGACCAGGACTGACCTCATTCACATAGTATCAGATAGCGAAGCAGAATGCTAGAATGCTAATGACTAGCCCAATCAATGTTTGAATGCAGACCAAACATACATCGTATCCATCACCAGGTGTGAAGGAGCCTGGCGCTGTACACAGGAAGAAAGCGCCAGGTCCAAACATACACAGACGAAGAGGAGGGAATCAGACGAAAGGAGGGGGAGAGATGGAAATGTCGTCAACACCAAGTCTTTGTCACAAGTCCCAAATAATCCCTCGTTGCAATGTCTGAAGTCCAAAAGTCGAGTCTGGATCCGATGTCACCAAGCTCTTTCTCTCTTCTCTCGTAGTCTGCAGATGCAGTGAAGTCAGATGATGAGAGGGGGAGAAGGAGATGGTCGACTGAGAAGAGGAAGAAGAAGAACTCTCTCTCTCTCTTACGAGCCAGATACTAACCTGGGATGTTGGCGCTGTGCTGCAAGTACCTCGAAGACGAAGCTGGAGCAACGGCGCTGCAGGTAAGTACCTCTGGCCTCCGCCCAATCTCTCTCTCTCTCTCTAGTGCTATACTAGCTATGGCGCCCAGCGCTGGAGACTACAAGTACCTACTGCGCCCAGCGCTGAAGACTAAAAGCTAACGCTACTACTACATTGCAGCGCTCCCTCCAGAGTGCTGCTGCCGAATCCTGAAGACTACAACTGCCTCCTGCCTCCCCGTGAAGTGC